TGAGTGGAGTTTTAGGCACAATTTCAACATACACAATACATATCAAGCAAGCATGCAAAGAGTATATGAGCAACGGAAAGTAAAGCATGCAACTTGCAAGAATGTAAAGGGAAGGGTTTGGAGAATTCAAACGCAATCGGAGACACGGATGTTTTTCCCGTGGTTCGGATAGGTGGTGCTATCCTACATCCACGTTGATGGAGACTTCAACCCATGAATGGTAACGGTTGCGCGAGTCCACGGAGGGCTCCACCCACGAAGGGTCCACGAAGAAGCAACCTTGTCTATCCCACCATGGCCATCGCCCACGAAGGACTTGCCTCACTAGCGGTAGATCTTCACGAAGTAGGCGATCTCCTTGCCCTTACAAACTCCTTGGTTCAACTCCACAATCTTGTCGGAGGCTCCCAAGTAACACCTAGCCAATCTAGGAGACACCACTCTCCAAGAAGTAACAAATGGTGTGTTGATGATGAACTCCTTGCTCTTGTGCTTCAAATGATAGTCTCCCCAACACTCAACTCTCTCTCACAGGATTTGGATTTGGTGGAAAGAAGATTTGAGTGGAAAGCAACTTGGGGAAGGCTAGAGATCAAGAATCATATGGTAGGAATGGAATATCTTGGTCTCAACACAAGGGTAGGAAGTTCTCTCTAAGAACATATGAGTTGGAAGTGTAGATGTGTTCTGATGGCTCTCTCCATGAATGAAGAGGAGGTGGAGGGGTATATATAGCCTCCACTTAAAATCCAACCGTTACACACAATTTACCAATCTCGGTGGGACCGAATCAACAAACCCGGTCAGACCGAAAAGGTAAACCTAGTGACCGTTAGAGATTTTCGGTGGGACTGACATGCATCTCGGTAGGACCGATATAGTTAGGGTTTGGGCATAACGTAATCTCGGTGAGACCGATTACACAAACTCGGTGAGACCGATTTGGTAATTAGCTAACCAGAGAGTTGGTCAGGCAAACTCGGTGGGACCGATTACTAAACTCGGTTGGACCGATTTTGGTAATGAGTTAACCAGAGAGTTTGCATTGTAATCTCGGTAGTACCGATTGCCTAAACTCGGTGAGACCGATTTTGGTAATGGACATACACAGTGAGATTACAATCCCATCTCGGTGAGACCGAGATCCCTATCGGTAGAACCGATTTGCTAGGGTTTGGCAGTGGCTTATGACATATGAAACTCGGTGGCGCCGGATAGAAAGAATCGGTAGAACCGAGTTTGGCTTGGTGTTTAGGTCATATGTGGAAGTGGGAAAGTAGTTGAGGATTTTGGAGCATATCATTAAGCACATAAAGCAAAGGGCTCATTAAGAAACACCTCATCCCTCCTTGATAATATTGGCTTTTCCTATGGACTCAATGTGATCTTGGATCACTAAAATGTAAAATGAAGAGTCTTGAGCTTGAAGCTTTAGCCAATCCTTTGTCCTTAGCATCTTGAAGGAGTTCCCACAACCTTTAGTCCATGCCACTCCATTGTTGAACTTATCTGAAACATACTAGATAAAAGTGTTAGTCCAACAAGAGATATGTTGACATTAATTACCAAAACCACCTGAGGAGCACTTGTGCTTTCACCGGCCGGCGGCAAGTGGAGGGAGGACGGATCGAGGAGGAAGGCGGACCGAGGAGGTGGCGGCCAGCGGCGAGTGGAGGGAGGACAGAGGAGGAGGCCGGTACCGAGTCCAGCCAGGAGGATGAGGCAACAGCGGCGCAGATCGGGGGAGGGGCGACGGGGGAGGACCGGCGGCGCGGGGGGTGAGGAGGAGACCGTGAGTGTGTGTGAGTGTGATCTATAGGTAAACGCGCTACTGCTAAGCGACCTATCAGTAGCGCCTTTCGGCATGAACGCGCTACTGCTATGTGTCAGTATGTAAAAATAGACATAGACATAAAAAAATACATTGATTATCAATGGTCTTTTTGTGTACAATCTGATTTGTCAATAGGAATCCTCGCCGGTTGGTTTAAGAACTGGCGAAGACTCCAATTGCGGCCACATATCCTACACATAGAGTTCAATAAAGACCAAGTGCTTGTGAAAGTTGTAGAAGAAACATATTTAAGGTGGGTAAAACTCTCTTCACGGAGCGAGGTGGGACTAAATTTTTGTAGTTAATTTAGCAGTAGCGATTATTGCCTGAATGCGCTACTGCTACGTTACGTAGCAGTAGCGCTGTTTATTTTAATGCGCTGCTGCTATAACTGGCCTCGCGGTGGCGTCGTGGGAATTTTAGCAGTAGCGCTTCTTGGAGTGCACGCGCTACTGATAAACTTGTTTCAGCGGCGAGTTTCTATGGCCCGCGCTACTGCTACTTAGCAGCAGCGCCTGATTTTAAAGCGCGCTGCTGGTAAGATTCTGTGTATAGCCTTTTCCCTAGTAGTGGGAGGGCACCACCACGGACCTTCCCTCGCCGCGGCCCACGGCCGAAGCAGCGGCCACGCCCGACCGCTACCCTACCCGAGTCGCCCCACGAGCTCCAAGCGCCGAAGCCGCCGGGCACGCACCACCGAATCCATGTGCCGCCGGCCAGCCCCCAACACCAGATCCGTCCGGAACCAGCAAGAGATCGGCCGCGCGCACCACACCCCCCACGTCTCCACGCCCTGGCCAGGTCCAGCCGGTGCCCAGCCACCCCACCGGAGAGGATGAGCCCCGGCTGCAGCACCACCACCTTAAAGGGGCCGTCGTTCGCCCCTGAAGCCGCCAACCGCCACCACCTGCCGGATCTGGGCAGGGGGCGCCAGATCCGCCGCCAGCACGTCCCCGGGCCTCCAGAAGGGGGTGGAGGGGAGGAGGCGACGCCGGCTGGTCACCAGGGAGCGGGGCGGAGGAGGGAGGCCGGAGCAGAGGCAAGCCGGCGCCTGACGCCACCGGGCAGGGGAGGCCGCCCCGCGACGACCGCCACCGCGCAAGGGAGAGAGCCGCCCCGCCGCCGCCCGCGCCACGCGGCCTTTGGCCGGCGACGCAACCGGCGGCGGCGAGGGAGGGGGGGGATGGAGCGAAGTAACGGGGGCGGCAGCGCTAGGGTTCCCTCCTAGGGGCACCCGCGGGAGCGCCACGGGAGCGTAGAGCCATTTCAATGGATTGAAATTAATTAATTATTGGCACCATGCTGGAGCTGCAAGTTTGGATTTTCATATGCTGCATACTTTCTTTGGAATACTGCTATTTTGTCTTGCCTGCTACAGCTCATTAACCAAGTTCTTACTTCTGTACCTGAAAAAGTAACTATAATTACCATTGAATAAACAAAAATTTCGAGCATTAACATGTGCTTCTTACAAGAATCCCTGTATACATACATATTTCCGTTTTACTAGAAAAATCTGCTAGCTAATTGGTGATAGCAAGTTGTAATCTGTTGTGTTTGAGAATTGTGTCAAATATATAGAAGGAAGCGAAAGAGTTTGCACACATAGAAGGAAACAAGCCACCACAAAACTGACAACCATCAATTCGGTAGGTCATGAAAATGTTCTGCTTTAGTGGTGGTGTAGTTCCGACTTCCAACTAAATCTGGGAGGTTTACAGTTCGATCTCTGTATGCGATTTTGAAGTCTAGCCAAGTTAACTGAACGCATTGGGAAGATGTGGTGTGTTAAAATCCCTTTAAAAGTAAAAGTGTTTATGTGGTTGCTGCTGAAAAAGAGCATTCTAACAAGAGATAATCACTTTAGATGTACATCAGCAAGGTATGTTAGGAGCTCTGCAGGCTTTAGAGACATGCTTGAAAATGTAGATGGTTTTAGATCCCGGATAGAGAAATTCCCTAGTAAAGATAGGCAGCTAGTAGCTGTGGGTTTGGCTGCAGACTGCAGTATTCTGGAAAGGTAGCAATATGGCTAGGTTTTATCATGTTTACGCCTGTGATCTCAGTTTTATTACTTTTCAGATTGCTCCAAATTACAGAGAGGAAAATGGCTCCAGGCCATGGTGTCGCTGCTGTCTAAATATGCCACAGATTTCTTGTACATGAGTAGATGTCCGCCAATAACTCGCAGACTGGGGGTGGGCTAAAGCTCCTAGCTTGCTGGCTGGTATTATCATTACATTAACTTTCCTCTTACTCGCGTCCAGTACTCTACTAGAGAACAGAAAAACAGAGTCCCATACAGGCTATGCCAACTGTGAAACTCCAAACGATGAAGCTATGGAACAACCAGTCAACACAAACATCTGAACAATAGCAAATACATGAGTTCAAAAGTATTATGACATACAAGCATATACAACAATTAGGAATCATCATTTACAATATGCACTTCTACATGGTATCGGAGCCAAGAGGTCTCGAGTTCAAGACCCGACTGACGCAATTAAATTGCAACCCACTTTCGGTCCATGTTTAGGC